TTGAGGGTCCCACTTTTGCCAGAGGCCTACGCACACGTGAAAGAGAACCAGCAAGCGTGGCTTTCCGGGTCCAGGCCGCTGCCGGACCAATGCCCTCGATACCCACCGATAAGGAGGATGTTGTTGGGAGTCACATCTCCAGTAATTGCCCCTCGCATCGGAGCGGCTCGTGATGCGGAGAAGAGAATGCTTAAGTGGAGTGAAGGGATGGAGCCGCGCTTCATCAGTTGGAACGTTGCGGCCATGCACACGTTTGACTTCACATTTCCTGATGCCTGGAGCCGGAAAAAGATCAAAGCATCACCTTCCAGGAAACCAGAGGTCTCCACTGGGGTGTGGAATGATGTGTATACACCTGCAGATGATCTATCGAGATTGAAGTGGTCAGGAGAGGTGAAGGTAGTAATCCTGGAGGTCACAAAGGAGTGCAGAGGAGGCACGTACATAACGCTGGATGATCTGGCGCCACATGGCGAGGAGTCGGTAGAGTTCTTAGTGAACGATGAGTTATTCTACCATGCAGGGATCTGACCGTACCGGCTCGGCCGGACTCGGGCATGGATATGCGACAAGGCCCTTCGGGACCTAAGCCAAAACCAGACATGAACGATGACGAGCGGATGGATCAGGACGATGATCACATGGAGGTAAAGTGAGAGAAGTCGAGTGAAATGGACCTGGGAGCATTGGAGAGGGACTTGCTGGAATACCAGTTTAGTGAAGACGACGACGGGGAAGTCGATGGGAATCTATTGCTGATGACACCATCGTCTTTCATGTCCCCTACAAAGGAGGCGCTGGCCAGATTATCCCCAGTGGAACCAATAAGCCTGGCAATGGACTACCGGAGGAGGGATCTACAGAAACTGCTCCATGAGTCACCAAGGAGGAGGAAGATTGAGGAGAATATGAGGGTATCTTTCCTGAGCACGCTACCGGAAGAGGAGTGGGAAAGATACCAGAGTGAATTTGAACGTGACACGGGAGTAACCTGGAACCGGGTGATTTTCATGGAGAGGACATGGGACGTGATACGCAGGTATGGGACGCAGTCCATAATGAAGGTGGGATTAAACCAACCCATCATGCGCGAGGTTCTGGAGCAAATAATGAACTACGTAGAGTTTGATGTTCTGACCGAGTCAGTTACAGAGGACAGTGCCGATGATCAGCAGATCACGAGAAAGTTACCCGTCAGACGAGCTAAAAAAGGGCTGAAGCGGTTAAAGAGAAAGACCGGAAGCAGAGCCGTGAACCAGAAAGTGGTGAAGTCAAAAGCCAGCACAGTGGTGGCCTCCTTGGCAGGAATAGCTCATTCAGGCGAAAGTGGGCAAGGAGATGGTGCGATGCTGGCCGGGGGAGAAAAAGAGAAACTGATACCCCCTATGTTATTGGCAGGTTTGACCACAACGGCCACGAGGTCAAAGAAAAATGCACGGACTCTGGCGGATACTAAGCTGGAAATGGAGGTCATCAGTCAGTGTTGATCTGGAGGACTTGATGATTACAAGCCCTCGCGAACCAACATGGCCCGGATGAAGCTGGAGGGACAACTCGACGTGGTCGAGTATAGTCAAATCACTGTACCAGACTCAGTACACGTGGGGGATCCGGCAGGGGGTTATGTGGAGATGCTGAAGGCGAGGAATTCCGCGAGAGGGCACCTGATGGCTTGGAACGAGAAGCAAGCCATGCAGGAGTATCTGAGGGAGTTGACGGAGAACTCCAACTTGAACAGGAAAGAATACGGCACGGTGATGTCCTCGGAAGCAAACGAAATTGGCCTGGAAAGACTGCTAGAGATCTCTTGGAGGGCAGCCCTCCAAAGATACTTTGACGAGACGATGCATGCGCCGGCGACGGTGGCAGCATACCTAGCCTATCCATGTACCAGGACTGACCTGCAGGTACGATTGGCCTGGTGTTTGATGGGAATTATGAAGGCGGAGTATGAAGCCAATAACGACTCGAAATCAAAGGAACAGGAACTGGAGTTGATGGAAGCCCTGCGAATGTTGATTTCTAGAGACGATTCTGCGATAGCCTGGGCTAAGCGGAAGGATGCCCTTTGCTTTGTAAGGTTCGTGTGGATCGCATCCCCACTCCTGTATTGGGAGAATGCATAAAGACCATTCGGCAAGGGGGAGTTGATGGTGAAAGAAACTTCCTGAGGGCACTCCTGGAGCTGTATCAAGACATGCCGCTAGCCATACCAAACAAGGAGTCGAACGATATGGAGAGCTACCGTCGGCTGGAAGAAGTGAGAAGGTATTCCAACAGAGAGTTGAAAGTGAGCCGGGAATTAATTGAAGCGGTCTGGGGACAGAAAGACTATTCGACATTGGGAAAGTTGAAGTCGTTCCAATATGTGTCTGGCATACCGGGAGTGGCATATAATCCCTTCGTAAATGAGGAAGCCAGGGAAGCGTACTTCGACTATGAGCAAGTCATAGTACTTGATTTCAGGGTAGAGCGAGTCAAAGAAACTGGCATGTTGATGGTTGAACAGTCCAAGCTGGGTATTGTTTTGGAGAAACGAGTGGTCGAACCCTCGGTTCCCGAGCTGAAGGGGCAAGTGAGTTTTGATTGTGGTTCTTGGGATGGTCCCTTGAAAACCAGCTTAGTAACCATGTGGGAACTCATGAAGCCTTCTTGGTTTCCACATCCAAACGCCGGTTTAATATGACGGCAGATATTACGTTGGACTTGGATGATGACGCGAGTTTGCACGATCTGGCCATGATACACCATCTGCTGGCCATAAGAGTAACGAAGCAGAAAAACAACCCATCCACGGAACCATCCGAGGGAAGTGCATCGAGTGACTGGCTGAGACAGGGCACCTGTCTAGCTCACAATTGTGGAATGGACGGACATGTATGCATCTCTGAACATTGCTTGATTACGCTGAGCGAGCAGCATCGCCAATTGGCACAACTGTATGGAAGGTTGAGCATGTCAGATAAAAATGGAATGGAGTTGATTGCGGACTGTCATGGGGTAACGGAAACAAACTTGATCACTGCCTTGGGATTTTGCAGCATGACGAGCTCGATAGAATCGCTGGAACGCCTAGAGAGTGCCCATGAGCTAGTGACGTCCCTCAGTGTGGAAGTATTCCCCGGAGCACTACAGACAGAGCAGAAGATCGGAGGCTGGCGAGAAGCTCTGGAAAATGAAATGAATTTGAAGGATAGTGAGGCCTATCATAGACCTACTGGCTCGAAATATCTGGTGGGTTCGAGCTCTGCAACATATTGAAAAATAGATACCCTACGCACATGGTGGTGGTGGATGCGAGGACACCGCAGGTGTTGGTCGACCAACTCTTCTCTGTGCCAAAGTGCGTAAAGTTGGCCAGAATGTCGGAAAGGTCGTATGATTTATTGGCGAAGATCATTCGGGCCGTCCCGAAGAGATCTGAAGGCGAATTGCAAGACGTAGTGGGTGAGGAGTCCATGAGATTGAACGAGGGTAATGTGAGTGAATTTCAGAAGCAGAAATTGAGTGGAGCGTTACCCACTGAATTCCCCACCATAGAAGAAAAGGACGAGGTGCCTAGAATAATAATGGCGACCTGGTAATATTGGGTAAGCTCGCTCGAAGAGGGTGAGTAACTCAATGACTTTCCTAGCCACAGAGTTTCTTAGTTTTAATATCAAAAACGACTGCATAGATAACTAATTATACTTGGTGAGTGACGTTAAGTTAATTTTAACGGGTGCGTGGCCGTGCCACGTTCCAACTTTTTAATCAGCAAGAGCGAAAAGAAGTTTTATGGCAAGATGACGTAAGTAGTCAGAAAGGAAATTTTATCTAGGACACTCCTCATGGTGCAAATTTTGTGAAAATGTTGAAAGGCAGTGAGATGTAGTATGATGCCATTTGTGACACGTAGTGAGTTGAGGTGGAGTAGATAAATTTCATTTTCTTATGCGGTTTGTAAGACTGATTCTAGAGAACTGGAACACTACTTGACGATAACCCGGTGTTATGCGATCAATAGGGACATTGACGGGGACTGTCCGGGGAGTATGTGCCATTCTACCAGATTGGCACAGCGCAACCTTCCGGCGAAGCACGAATTAGAGAGAAAAGGCCTTAACAACGAAAAAGTGCTTGAAAGGAGGGTCGAAATTTTCTGGAAGTTTCAATTTCCCAAAATTTCGATTAACGAGCGAGTATTTCTCAGAAATACGAAAAACGGCCATTTTGACCAAAAAAGTTGAGAAAAACAGAACAACACCAAATAGAGTAGAAAACAGTCGCACGAGAACACAGAAAAACGAAGCCTATTATCGTGACGATCACGCACGATAAGACCCTTAGCGGAAGAAGATAGTGGGAAAAGAGGCTTCGGTGGGGAAGTGGTGGAGAGCAGTACCCTCCCGTGCCGCGAATTGGGAGAGATAACGACGATATCTCGAGGAAAACACGGAAGCGGAGGCTTGGTCCCCCAGAGACTGATATAAGGTGAAAGACTGTAGTAAACTAACTTTTTAGCTACTCTGATGCCATAGAACTTTGAATTGACATCGGTATTATTTGATATTTTAGAATATGAGTAGCTAGGAAGAGGAAAGGGTCAATCCATCTCCAATGGATTTAATATAGAACTGTCACCAAAAATATAATAAAATAGGATACTCGAGCCGTGTTTTTAATAACAATCACGTAGTCTGAGGATCCGAGACTCAGCTATGTGGTTGTGTTCGCATGTAGACGAAAGCTGATCAAAAGTCGTTTGACTGATGGCCTAAAAATAGTAACTTTTTACTTAGCCCTTAGCAGACCAGAAAATCAACTGGCAAGGTCGAGACGGTGAAAAACGAGTAGAATTAAGGTAACTGACGCCTGCCAGTCGTTAATAGGTACTTTTTCTACGCTCCGTCGCTGTGTAGTATTTGGGCGAATGTTACACTCTGTTAATCCATCGAAGCTGTCAATTTTCTCACTCGGATGCTCCTATAAAATTTCGATATTGCCATGCATTTTGGCGCCATTTTGGTCTAATGACTCTAGTTTGACTTTCTGTAGGAGGCTCAGCCAGTGTGCTTAGTTTCCTTAGGTCATGAGGCTGACTAGAATGAATTTTTCGCTATAGCTGGAAAGCGACTGTATGGTATGAAATTTGAATTAATGATGATTTAGTTATTATAAATTGCGGGTAAATGAAGTGAATAAACTATGGGAAAATTAACATTCGTTTTTAATTGAGTTACAAATTATCTTGCCATTTAAAACATGCTTTGTTTGCTCGATGGTATTTCTCGACTTTTTGAAAATTTTTCAATGTGGTTCGAATCACTACTGAAACGTCTTCGATGTGATATTTCAATCAACCAAGTCCGATGATTATTTGATACCTGATTTTGCGTGGAAAACAAAAAGAAAAAACTAAAACAGTCCTGAATTTAAAGTTCCTCCCGATTTTCAATGGTCTGAACTAAAACATCCTTTGTTGTTGTATCAAATGTAATTGTTATTTTAAGGAATCATGTTTCTATAATTATACTAGAAATCACCAGATTCTTAGTCCTGATATATCCGTGCAGTTTCGCTCGAATGTTGAAGGTTAACAAGTAAAAAAAAACTTCCATCGTCTTTTTTTTCACTGTTAACATCGAACACAGTGATTATACTTTACTCTTCCAAATCAAGAAAGTTCCTAGGGTTTTGACTGGATAATATTATGAAGGTTATTCTGACTGTTAGCTCGTTTACTATGATATTTTCAAAATTTTGGCATCAAAATTTTTTTCAGTCTTGGCATTTTTTTTGAATTTTTGAAAATGGTGATTCCAAAAAGCGCTAAAATACTCAAAAAAAACTAACGTTTCTTGATTAACAGTAAGTTTTTACGTTATGAAACAGCTCTGTGTTCGATGTTATAGCCTTCAGCTTTCAATCCAATTCAGTTCGGGAAATGGAGCCGCAGAAATGGAAACTGGAGACGCAACACAACTATTAAACCTCAATTAAATTCTTTGAAATGGGTTTGTATGCTTGTTATTATAACAGCGCTATCATGTTATGCAGAAAAACATGACACGTAGAAGGCATTTTTCAAAAATATGCGCGCTAAAGCAAGAAGATAATTAAAACTTAAAATATTTCCACTCGATCGTTAAAAAGCTCTTGCGACCCCCAGTTTTTCAGAAGGTGAACTTGAAAAATATTGTCCATTATCTAGTAATGCCGCAATGTCAAAAATTTTCAAAAACTTTGTAAAAAAAAACACTTTATATGCCAGTTGAAAGTATTTTCAGATGTACAAGTGTCAGTCAAATTGTGATGATAATTATTGTCAGATTTACCCAAATTTAGTGATGCAAAATTACGCATTTAATGATTGTATCACTATCTTACGAAATTACCATTAAAGAAATTTGAAATATCTCCATGAAGTTTTTCATAGTTTACCTCTGTTGAATCTTTTTTAAATGATAGTATACAAAGATCCTTAAAAGTTGTTTTTGCTTTTCTATACGTAAGGATATTCTTGAAATTAATTTTGTCATCATGTGACCTGTTCCAAATTGTTACTGGTTTAAAAAAGAGAGTTTTTGATGTATTGCCCATTAAATCTTTCGACATAATATAATTTTTTTTCTTAGGTTCATAGTTATGTGATTGTTTTCATATTGAATTTTTTTTGTAAGCTGGTTATAAGGGATGATTTATTCTCCAGAAGTGGCAAATTACTTTTCAGTCGATAAGACTGTTGTGTTTTAGTTTGAAATCAGATGATGAAGCGCATTTTGCACGATCACAGCAACTTTTAGTTGCCCAGCCAAGTTGTTTTTTTTTTCTAATGAGATTGTCAAATTTGTTGAACTTCCATTTAAAAGGATAGCAGGATAGTGCATGTGACTGATCACGAGTGCGTTCATTAGTAGTAGTCTTGTTTTGATAGGAAGGAATTTTTTGATCGACTGTAGTTTCCTAATCCCGCTGGCCATTTTTTTAAGATCATTTTCTTTTCGTCTTGAAATGTCGAAATTTCGTCAAATATTACTCCGAGATATCTCACATTGACTTTTTCTTCAATAAAATTTTTGTCCAGGGCAGTTGTCTGATTTTTATCATCTTTTCTAAAATGTTTTCTACTGAAGATGATAAGTTCTGTTTTTTTTTCTTGTTGGAGGATTCTGCATTAAGTTGGAGGAAGTGTCTGCGAAAGTACTGTGATAAACAATTGCAGTTGTTTTCAAGCTTTTTTTAGTGCAGTTTTAATGTTTTTATCCTCACAGAAAAGAATTGTGTCATCTGCATATTGAAATACTTTGCATGAGTTCGTCTATTGCTTGTTAAGATTCGCTGCTAATTTTATATATTAGAAGATCGAAGCTTAAATTTTCAATGCAAGAATAAAGACTTAGAATAATGGCTTTAGGTTTTGAAACATTACCAAACCCATTACTAATAAAAGGAACATTGCCCTGAAATCATACATTTGTCCTGAGCTGTCTTGCATCTTATTTTTGTTTTAGACGAATGAATTTGTTTTCAGCTTTTTTGTTTTTTGCTCCGACGACTGAACACTATGTCGTAGGGTCTTTTTTAAATTTTAAAAGAAAATTTTGACTAAATCAAGGAAAACTCGCAGCGTGTCAAGCTTGGCATCTAATTAACGATCTTTTGGTCGTGACTCAGATTTTTATTAAAAAGACAGAAAGTTGTCGCAACATGAAGAAAAAATGGTCTGTTTTTTTTTTCATTTGAAGTTAGACAAGGTTTGATGAGAGGCTGACCTCCCAAGTTCATTTCTACTAGATTTTAAACAACTTTTTTGTGCGTTACTTTAATTAGATACGCTCTTTTCAGCATTTTTCGCCCAATTTCGTCTAATATCACTCGCCAAGGAACAAAGATTATTTTGAATTTAGATTACCAAAACTGGCGAACCCGTGAAAGCGCAGCCAATCTACTCCAACTTAAAACCATTGATGATTGAATATGTTCATTCAGCTAAATTATTTGGTCCAAGGTTCGAATCCATGAGAGAAGAACTAGGTAATAATTTAACAATTTTGAACACCATTTATAGATATATCGTTCTTCTTATCTTGTACGTGAATTTACAGAAAAAGCACCTCTATTAGCATTCGACACTGAAATGATGAACAAAGCGCAAGATGTCGTTCTTTTGCAAATCGGAACTCTTTTTGGTCGAGCCTATGTTTTCGATATGCGAAAGCTAGAGTCATGTCAGAAACAGCTTTTGTCGGATTTATTCAGCGACAAATCTCTTTCTATATTTGGATCTGGATGCGCTTATGACGTTTCCTTACTTAACCAAACATGCGGGTTCCAATTATCGAACTTTTTCGACTTTATTGATTTAGTCTCGAAAGTTTTGCCGGCAAAAGATTATGATGTCCTTCTGGGCTCGAAATCTGGCTTAAAATGGATGTGTAACAAATTGATTGCTTTCGACTTTGCGAAGTTGCACTGGACTGAATATGAAAAATTTTCCTATGAAAATATCCCAGAAAAATTGATCAGCTATGCTGCTCTGGATGTTTTAACATTAATTGATTTGTATTTGAATCTTCATTTCTATCACAATAATTTGCCATTGATGACTTCTGATGAAATACTTCAAAACTGTAGCGCAATTTGTGCGTTTGGCTCTAATCGTTTTACGCCAAAAAGACACGCTTTGAGTTCAATACGAGAAAATTTCAAATATACTTCTTGATGTTTTTGTTTGCAGTGAAAGCCTCATCATCCGTAGTACAGTGCGCGTTTACCTTAGCCATTGCTTTCAGTTGGACAATTTTTGTACGGTCTAATTAGAATGAAGTGTAAAGGAAAACTTTTAAAAGCAGTTCATTACTAAGAAATTACAGTTAAAGCTTCTTTTGCTGCAAAAAAGCTGAAAGCTAGTTTTGCTGTTAAAGCTGCAAAATAAATGCTTTACGCTCTCTACAATTGCTCTACTCGTTGAAAATTGGACTTAAAATCAAACCGTTTTTTTTTACTGCGAGAAAGTTATTGGATTGTTTTTAATATCACTCGAATCACGATTCAAGAGGCTTTAGTATGATATGTTACTCAATCTTATCTGGCATTTGTTTGTGGCATCTGGTTTTTCGTGAAAAAAAAACAGTATTAACCGGTTGATCTGCAAATAAATCACTGTTCCGAGCATAGTTATTTGAAATAATTATTTTGTTTTTTCTTTTCTTTCAAAATTAGACAGGATTTTCTTGCGCGACATGGGGACAAGATCGTTATGAACTTTAGCATTCGCTTTAATTGACTACAGATGTCTTTCAAAAATGAGTAGCCAAACCATGAAAATTCTAAAAAAAAAATTAAATGGTTTCAAACTTTTTAAAAAATCATTTTTCGAATAGTTCGTTTTTCAAGTGACAGGTAAGCGCTACATTAAAACTTCAAATTAAAATTTCAGACCGGTTTTTAGTGACACAGAAATTGTTTTGACGTTCAAATTACGCAAAGGGACACTAATCTGTACATATAATAAAATGAAGTTTGTCTGTATGTCAGTGACCAAACTCCTCCTAGGATAATATTCGTATGATTTTAAAGCTTTGAATATATGCGAATTATGTGAAAAGTCATGGACTAAATGGTTTTTCCAATTTTCAAAGCTTTGAACATATGCGAATTATATGTGGAAGGTCATGGACTACACGGTTTTTCCCAATTTTTATTGACCTTTTATTGACGAATTAAGCTTTACCAAAGTCGAATTATTGACAAATCAACCCAAGTCCTTCGAACTGGTTGAACCGAATAGTAGTTTTTCCTTTTACGACGTCAGTATTTTTTTTTCATGATACTAAATTAAATGGGGCGAAGGATCTTTTTGCGGTTAAACCAATGATATCCAGCATCATTGATGAAAATGGGAAAAAGAGTTGCAGTACAAGGACTCGGGGTACTGATAAATATTTGAAGATAAAACTTACTTTGAGTGAATTACGGAATGTTTTGTAATCAAAATTAGGTACCTAGCGACAAATGGCTTCACAGCTACTACAACAGAATCATCTGAGTCCTTTGAAGGCCTAGGGCTCAAGTTTGTCCCTGATTTTTCTTTGATAACCGAAATTATTTCTTTAAAAGTTTGCGGACTATAATTTGTCTACTTTGTCTATAATTGTCGCCATAGTTGTCACAGCATGGAATTTGCGTATGATGTCAGCAATTATCAACAAATTGAAAAAAAAATGATGTATTTGTTTAATGGTGGAAGTAGTTGAGTTCCCAGAATTTTACATATCGCCTCGGCAAATGATTTTTATGAATTAAAAGGGCGCTAGAGAATGGCACAATCGTGCCTAGTATTCAAATATTTTATAGAATAACAGACACGCTTCATAATTACCCTTGCGAGAAGCAAGGGTATTGCAATCGGCTACTAGACTTTTTTTCCGTAAACAACCTCGTCCACTAGATCTGCACTTCTAGAGGAAGATACCTAAGTAGTATCTTCCTCTAGAAGATAAATAGTTGTAATTAGTTCAAAGTCGTTTCAGGTTTTTCGTGAAACGACTTTTTTCATGTTTTTGGTTTTCGTACATGTTTCTGTCGGTTCATTCTCCGTTTTTTAAACGCCATTTTTTTAAAATCTGGTTTGGTTTTTATTAGTTTACTTTTTGAAGCATGAGTTTTGTTCCAATTTAAACAGTTTTGCTATAACTGGAACTTCACAAATATTAAAAATTACCATCCCTGAGTTTTTTTTTAAATTTTTTAAAATTATTTTAACATTCAAACGATTTCAGTTTATGTTGTATCGACATAGTCAGCTTGTTTCGCGAAATTCCGCGCAAAATATATCCGTTTTGGCCTATGTGTTTCAGTTCGGATGGGCCGTGAAAACTATTTTAAAATTTTTTTTATGACAAGAGTTTTGTTTTCGGCTCATTAGGTTTCGACCCAACGTTTGTTTCCTTTGTTGTCGCTCGGTATTTGATTTCCATTTTTTAAGGCCTGTTTATGAACTGCATCCGATACAAATATGAAGTTTTTGAAGCTGTTATTTTCAATTTTTGTCAAGTTATTTTCAAGTAATTTTCTCCAACATAATTTTTTAGAAATTTTTTTGACTTGTCTTTTTTTCATTCACTATGTCGTAGCGCAATGTGTTTTTTTTTGCATCGCAAGTGTTGCGAAGCTCCGTTTCGCCTCCGTGTATTCACAAAACTTCAATCAATTTGCTCTTAAGCTTGATCTTTTTTGAATGGCAAGTGGCGTGAAGCTCAGCATTGCCTCTGTAAAATTCGGGTTTTGAACGATTTTTGGTGGTGGGAGGGGGGGGGGGGCAGGGCATTAAGGATTTTGGTGAAGATGACGTACAGTTTTTTATGTCGAATTAAATGAGTATTCAGCTATACCGAAATACTTTTTTGCCAAAATTTTTTCCCAGATGCGAATGTTTTTTTTTGCTTTCGAAACGCAGTAGGGATAGTTGTAAAATAGTACCAAAGGAAGGCCTCTAAAACCCCCTGTTGTCTGGCATTGCTAGAATACCCTATACGAATAATGTGTCGATTTTGTTAAAATAGTTACAAATATTTCAAATAGTTTTTTTTTGTTTTTTTTTAAAGTTTTTAAAAATGAGTTTAGGTAAAATTGTACAGATTTCTTCAGATTTCGAATTATGAGCAGAGGTTCCAGTGCTATATCGTCAAATGCCTCTACGAAACGAAACACATATTCAACCTTAGCTGGTGGTGATTATCTCAGCAAGGAGGATGAATACAGTCGATTGAATGCAGAATTGGAAGCGCGCACTGCTTCTCTGTTGAAGGATGCGGAGTCTGTGTTAAAACATAATGAGAAGTTGCTGGGAGAAGATGGAGATACAAGCGAAGAAGTTCATATGAGGTGAAAAATTGTTTTGATTATAAATTTTCAGTTATTTGTCAAAAACTAGAAAGACGCATCCACCAGCTCTTCAGTTCTTTGAAGAGAACCAATGTCGGGCCGATGCTTAATATTTTCATGCAGTTGTTGTGGTTATTTTTCTGGGTTTGGTAATGTTGCCTCATCCTCAAAGAAAAACGAGAACGAAAAACATCCGACCTTTTCATGGGGAGAAGTGATTATTCACTGCAAAAATGAAGATCCACTAGAGAATCAAGTAAAAATATTTCTTACGTCCTTTATTAATTAGACCGTACGTCTAATTGACTAAAAGAAAAGACGTATCGTCTAAATGATTCCTACCTTTTGTATACATTTAGAATAAACCTCCAAAATACCAATTATATTGACTAGATTTTTTTCGTTAATGCGTGGTATCAAATGAAATGTGTAATTGTTAATCTGAAATAGGTTTCGCTTGAACTAATTACTATTGTTGTAGCTGAAAAAGCAAAATGCTTTCACAAACCGCTTAAAATAGGACTTTTTCGAAGTTATTTACTCTTGTATTAATTGAGATCGATTTGTGTTTTTTTGTATCAGATCCCGAGGCATTGGATTCTCATTTGGAGATGTCCGCTACGAAGAAGAATCTTACGAGACATCACATGACACAAAGTATGACTCGTCCAATGCCTATGCAGAAGACACGAATGAAGATCCGAAATCGTTAGAAATGTCACATGAAGACTATGGAATGTCTCTTGAGGAACAACTGAGATCAGGTGGTGGAATGGGTGAGTGCTTGGACCACGGCGTTGAAAAAGAAATTGATGGAAATAATTTTAATAAATTGAATTTTAATCGATTTTTCCCGTAATTTTTTTGCTTGTAATTAGCAGGCGTTAGTCAATCGGAAGATGGGACTTTTTTGCAAATACGCAACTTGTCTAACAGAAGCATTGATCATTTGATAGCTTGTTTAAATCAGTTTAATTTCTGAATCTCATGAACGTTTAAATGGAGGTTACGTCCATACGTGGCAGTCCGAAAGGCAATGGTTCGAATGCGGCCAGGACCTCATGTTGATAGCTGATTTTTTTTAGTTTTTGGGCCTTTGAGCCAACGTTTTTCAGCTTTTTTGTGGAAAATTTTGACCTCCCATGGAAAACTAATTTATATTTAATACTACCGAACCTAACAGTAGTTTCATTTTAAAAAAATTGACCAATAGAGAACAATGAAAAGTGTTTTGAAAAAAAAATTACATGATAAAGGCCAGTTGGCTGAATTGACAGGTGGGACTCAAGGGATGCCAGGAAGTTCTGCAGGCACTGCAAGTGGTAGGAACAGTAGAGCAATGACAGCCATGGGATCCAATGGTAATGTCCTTCAAAACAAGGTCAGCTTAGCAATAACTTATTTTGATCGTTATGTATTAGACATTGTCTGAGTTTTTGAGATAAGTTTTTTGAAGAACAATTCAGGTTTTCAGTGCATGTTAGTTTGATGTGATGGACAGTTTTTTGTAATACACTTAAGTCATACTCAGTTTCCAGATATCAAGCGTAGTTCCAGTGAATCTGAAGAGTATTCCATGAACAATAGTTTTTCTCCAAAAGGCTGTTTACAAATGACGGCAAATATTCGATGTAAAATGTAAATCAATTACAAGTGCTTCAAAACGATGGGAACAGTGATAAACACTTTCCTCCTCTTGTTTATAAGTTATTGAAGTTCGTAATATCCATTGATTTTTATCTCACCAAACAAAATTCATTCCAGGGTCGACAAGGAGCGAAAAGTGCTTCCGCAGTATCCAAGCCAATTACTCCAAAGCGACCAGTCTCAGGAGTTGCCAGAACAAACAAGACCCAAAATGTCAAATCGAAAGCTGATTTTGTAGCTACTCCTAGTCAAGTGGCAGCTGCAACATTACAAAGCACGATAGCCAGGTAAGAATTAATAATTTCGAGAATTGGTGGACTAAAAAACTGTTATTTATTTCATTCGTTTGAGGTATAATAGTTTCTCAAAATCACAGAGATCCCAGATTGGAAGGGTGCATAAGAGCATACACATGTTTCAGTTACGTAACCTTGTTACTGAGTTTTCCTAATTTTTATGTGATTGACTATGCCAAACTTCGTCTCAGTTTTGATTAGGTAATTACATGCTATTCCACCGTATTTTAACCTCAAAGGGAAATTCGCTTCTTATTTCGTATTTTTATTTTTGCTTCATTAATGACTGCGGTTTGTACAGGATAGAAAAAGAGAGTGATAACACAGCAGGAGAAGCCGATAACACCAATGAGGCAGATGACCTTGGAGTTGCGAGTGAGTTGGGATCTGCAGCTGTGAACAGATTCCTGAAGGCCAAACTAAGAGTGCTTCAGGAGGAGCTAGACCGGATGTCGAGGGAGTTGAACAAAAAAGAGCAGGAGAATCTGAAAATGCAGCACAAGCTGAAGGTGGGCACATAACCAAAGAGAACAATTTTTTTGAGCTGCAGCATTTTTAGCGGGTTTTAAAAAAATCGGATTATCAAAAGTGCAGTTAATTGTCTGGTTCTGAGAAAACATATCTTTCCAGGGTTTGAACGGTTAATCTAAAGGATTGAAGTGGGAAATAAGGTCCAGTTAAGCTCGTCAACTATAATAGTGTGTCCCCTAAAAATTAGATCTGAAAGATGGGTTCCGCTTTTTTGAAGTTTTCAAGAACGAAGTAAACAATTGATGCAAATGCTAAATTTCACTTAGCTGTAATATTTTATAGCTCAATTTGTTTTCAAGAACTGAACAACCTTACGTACGTGTACCCAGTTTCTTAAGTAAGGTTCAGTGTTTTTAAGTATCGATAAACGTAGTTCAGACCTTTTTTGAGATCCTGTTAATTTTTCGTAGTTGTTCAGGAAAAGTCTTAACATCACTTTAACTCCTTATTTGATCACTATTAAACTTACTAATTTATATGATAACTTGTTTAGGAAGCAGAAGAAGAGCGTGGTAAACTGCAGAAGTCGACTAATAACCAGCAGAGTCAGGTGGACAAGTTCAAGAGGACAGTGGACGAGTGGCGGAGGAAGAGCGAGTCGGCCGAGTCACAGTTGATTCTACTCAAGAAGGAGTTGGAGGTACGAACATAGACATATGCATTTTATCCTATTATTGTTAAGATAAATAATATTCATAATAATGTTTTGTTGTTTAACTCAGATACTTATGAACATGCATTCGTTAGTAAAATGTTTCCAAGAAGGATTTAGAAGTACAAAGATAGACTGATAACATTTTGTCGTATTATATTGATAAAAATAACATTAAGATATTAAAAATAATATTAATAATAATAATTTGTTGTTCAACTCAGATACTTATGAACATGCATTGGTTAATAAGTTTTGCTTAGAAGTGCGACGATGCACGGAAATATATAAGACTCTCCTTTTTAAGATAGTATTGTAACATTCGTCTGCTACAGTCACACATGAGGCTTAAGAAAAATAGGCCCTATAACCACTGGCTCAAGGGTCAGGGACACTATCTCTTGTGTTTTCCCACCTCAAGAACGGTCGGAGCCAGTTCGGTTCGCTTGTGACATGAGACTACGACCCGTTACAGCTTAAAGGCTACTACTAAAATATCCCCCCACTCTAGAATTAAGAACGTCCCCATACTTAGGTCTCTAGATACCCAAAATACATGAACGCCGTTAAAAACCGGGTTGGAACAATCCGTTAGGTTACTTTTTATTAGACAGTGTGACTTTGATCCATTTCAGATGGATCAACCTAAAACTCGCCTTACCTCAACATAACAATCATAAAACACACTCTAGAAATTTAAATTAAGGACTCACATGTTGATGCGCTCAAGCACAGGAAGTAATTAAATGGGTGAGCAACTCTAGAATTAACTAAGGTAACTAGATAAGTTCAATGTTTATCAGTTTGAATGGTAAGGGTAAGTTTGAACTCAAGAACGAAGTTTTATGTGGACCATTGGGACACTCAAGCTGTCCACCCTTCCGTCGAAGGTTCACTCTGGTCCAGTTCGAATAATTGCTCTCTCGGGAATACTCTGTCTTCTATTTCAGATAGGACAGCTCTACTCTTGTTCACTATGATGGAAATTGCGAATAGCAATTTCCCACTCGTTTTTTTCTGACAACTTTCCCGCAATTGTTCTAAAATTGTTCTCTTTTCCTTTTTTGATTTTCAGTTCTCGCGAGAAAATCGTGCATGACATGTTCCATTCGAAAATTTAAAAATTTAAATTTCACTCCAAAATCAAGTGTTTTCTGCTCTTCTCAAGGTCAAACTTCCAAATATGACCGACTGGCACATACTCCCCGGACTCGAGATCGATGTCCTCATCGCGCGCTGTCTTCTGCCAGTGAGTCCCAGAAAAACCGAGTGTTGCTCAAGATACAGTGCCAGTGGTCATTTACAGAAGTTTGCAGCAGATTTAAGATTATCTACACCCCAAAATTCACGACCATTTAAAATTTTCACACTATTGCTAAACAGCAACCAAAATCTGCATTTACCTGCACCTTTGAATTTTCGCTTTTCAAGCCAATCATTTAAAAATCTCTTTTGTCCTATTCAATCAGGAAATTGTCATGCAGCATTTCGATTTATATAATAGATATAGTATATTAGTAACAATATTTGCTTTGTTAAAATTTCTTTTTCGTGAATCCAAGTTTCACTCGGATTCACACTCAAGCCCCCTTTCCCTCTCAAGACTCAAGATCCATCCGATTTGCCCATTCATCTCGTACTCTTCGCCTTGGAGGTACTGCATCCTGAAGTGCTAGATGCGGCAAACTGTCTCAACAGTTCCTCTTCATCATCGGAACTAATCACAATCTCCTCCCAAGCCTTCAGCTGTTCATAGGATCGCATCCATTCTCTCTGCTCCTGCAATCTCTTTGCTTGGTTGGGTAGTGCCTTCACCCTAGCTTCTCGGTTCAAGCAAAAGGAGTTGTGCAGGCTCAAGCTCACGTTCTTCGCCAGGTCTTCCTCTAGTATCGACTCCCTCGCTTTGGTATTGTCTCTAGACATCTTACCCACTCTCTTCCATCCCGTCGTGATCGCATTACGATGGGTTAGCAGGGGTCTCTTGAAAGCTTCCGGCCCAATCTCGGCCTGGAACTGTCGATACTCCTTTTGATGTTTTCTCATGTGATCTTTCGTTGCCCTGTACAGCCAAGACGTCAGTGTCGCCCGAAACCATGGAAAGTACCTCAAGCGACTCCATACGTGCCTGACTTCCGTCGGTATGGCGAATACTTTGCACGCAGTCTCAAACAACTCAAGTCTCCTGCTGTAGTCTATCGCGTATATTGACTCAGCCGTTGGCGTCGTCGCCTCCCGATACTTCGTTATATTCTCTTCTATCCATCTCAGAGCTAACATCGTACTCACTACTAAGAGCGTCACCTTCTGCCGGTGATCCGGTAGTCCGATTGACCGAATCTCTTCCACATCCCACACCAGGCAAAGGTTCTTGTGATCTGGATACCACACCGTTTGTGCCAAACAGTGGCATGGGCATTCCCCATGAGAGATCTCAATGCTCCTGAGATTACGCTCCCCTGAGGCTTCCAAGAGAGGCTCAAGCTCCATCATTTTCTCGTGCATCGTGTCATTGTCTTCCAGGTTTGGAGTACTTCCCACAGATTTCCCGATCACGTTTTGTCTCTCGTGATCGCTTGTGTTTTCTCTTTCCAACTTCAGAAGATCTTCTCCCCAGATTTCGCTTAAGTCATCTCTCAATTCTTTTGGTACTGTCACTTTGATTTTTCTCAACAACTTGTGCGAGTGATGCGACATCCGAGCCAACCTCACGCACTTGGGCACTGAGAAGGCCTTGTCCACCAGTATTCTCTGGCTGGACACTTCCACCATCGCCATGTGTAGCGGGTAGTGACTTCCGCACAAGTTGGCCATCATTGACCCTATCAGCGATTTCGCGTTCAATGGCAAGCCATAAGCTTCGCTCAGGGGAAATCCCATTTCCGCCTCAAGACCAACTTTCCAGCTCCGGATGTGTTTTTGAGTCACCTGCAACACCCCGGGCCATGATTCTACGCTCAACGCCGTCACTAAATGATGCTCAGACTCCAGTCTCTCCAGTGCCTGCAGACCACACATTCTCGAGAAGAATCCGAGAGCTGTCGCTATATTCACCGTGGTTCTCGCGTAACATTCCGCTATTATTTGCACTTCACTTTTCTCCCTTTCTGTGATGTCTTCGAACCAAGTGACCAGGTCTTCTTTTTGAAACGACAGTATCCTGACGCATGACCGTCCATCGCAGATGTGCTCTCCGTTCCCACACGTCGAATCCAGACAGCTACCCGGCTCCAATTTCTTTGCTGACCCGGGGTCGCTCGTCCTTTCGCTTGGCTCTTGCATCTGGGGTGTGATTAGCTTATGTAGCACACTCAACTTCGCCAGATCTTCATCTTCCGTTGGGGCTAACCTCACTCGCTCGGTGGTTTCCTCGATTAGACTCGCATGGGGATGTGGACACCAGGAGGGTCTTAGTAGCTTCCATATCACTCCCAAGTTCGTGGTTAACAAGCCATTTCCACCGCCCATGTTCACTTCAACTCTCTTGTTTGAGCGCGGTATGCTTATCACCTCTGGTGTTTTCTCAAGAATCAGTCCCAGGCTCGGCCCCTCTTTCTCCACCGCGTCTATCTCCATTATCCTTTCTGTCCAAAACTTCAGTAGCTCCGCTACCTCATGGTTTCTGTGGGCTCCTCCAGCTTCCGAGTCTAAGAAGGGATTGTAGGCTATTCCCATCACTCCAGACACATATTGGTATTCCCCCTTCTCACTGAGTCTCGAGTACTGTTCTGACGAGGCCAGGTTACGGTGAACATCATGTTCTTCCTCGAACTTCTTATTAGAGAACCTCCGTACCTCGTCCAGCTTTCGATGGTTCTCTAAGGATAGTCTGGAACCATCTTCTTTCTCTATTCCTGTACTCTGATATACGTTCAAGATGATCGTTGAGACTCTTCTCTCCATGGTCTTACTTCCACTTGCTCTCTGGTGGCATGCCAGGATGGTGCTATCAGACATCATTGACATTGTCCATCTCAAGAAACATGTGGCATCTTTTCTTCTAGCCAGGCTCAAGCCTGAATTGTCCCTGGCCACGTGTTGCATCAGTGCCTGATACACCTCTAGCTTCTTGCTTCCCAACTTCAGCCTGTCATACGAGGTCAATGTCTCCAACTCTACTCCCACCAGACTCCAGGTGAACATTAATTGTCCCGCAGTTCTAACGAAGGGATTCGCCATTAGTGGCGGTGCTGATGAGGATGTTCTCATCGCCTCTTCAAAATGATCCTTCAACAAACTCTGCCAGGACCTCTTCAGATGACTTGCCATCTCTATCTTATTAACCTCGGCTTTTTGCTGGGTGGCCCAATTGCGTCGCCTGCGAGCTATTCCACTGTCCAACTTCTTCAAGCAGTCCTCCATTTCCTTCAATGTTTCGAGGGCCACCCACCACGTCCGGGAAGTGTTCCTCGTCTTGTTCCTCTCCAATAGATCACTCGTCACTTGTTTGCCCATGTCCTGATGTGCCTTCGAGATCCATTCTTTGCCGATCTCCACTTCCCCTACCTGTCCGTTCGTTGAACCTCTCTTCACGTTTACCTTCTGAGGCTTGAAGTCTTCTTCTGACGTCGAACTGGTGGAAACCTCTATTTCCTTTTCTACTTCAAGTGGTTTCCTGAGCTCCGAGCTGTTCTTGTATGCCGCCGTCTTGCATCGGGCCAAAACGATGGGCGCCGTCTCTCTCAAGTTTCCTTCCGAAACAGCATCCACTGAAGGACTACCCCATCCTTCCACTTCTCTCTTCCTCTTGCGAGTCTTCACCTCTCTGCTCGAGGGTGTTGTGGCTATCATCATTGATTCGACCTCTCCATCCACTCCTTCCAACTCTTGCCTCCCCCCTGCTCGAGCCTTAAGGATATTAGTACTTTTAATCATATTACTAGTCCCAACCTTATCCCTTTTTATATCATCAACCATTTTATCCACAGTTTTTTGTTTCAGAGTAGAGCTGTCCTCACACTTCTCTTTTCTAGTCTTCGATCGTGCGTTCC